GCCCTTGTGGGGGGCCCTTTATAGCCACAGTCAAGTCAAGCAGGTGTAAGGAGGTGCTTCCTCAAAGACTTACCTAGCATGATTGCCTTGTATATCTTTTTTACACATGTGATTTTTATGTCATCCAAGTTTTTGTATGTTTATTGTTTATGCTTACTAGACTGCTTCTGAGCTTTATCTGATACATGCAGAGCTAGATTATTCTCTACATTCGGTTCAACTTGACCACATTTTCTGTAGTTAGCACCACTATGGTAGATACTCTGATGGTGTCTAGTTTCTCTTTGCTGTAAAGGAGAATATAACCTCCATAAGTTGTATGGCCTCTGAGTATGACTCTGATGGGATATATTTCACCCAGTGAAAATTTTAAGTGTTGTATTTGATTCAAGACTAACTATAAGCAATCAAATTTACCTTTCCTAGCATACAGTTAGTTCTCTGAGGAGTGACAGAACTGTACATATGACCAATATGTACAATTGTGTCCCTACTGCCACAGTCACTGCTTAACCCTGCAGGTATACTGAATCCTCCTGAAATGGGTGGTTTAAGGAAGTGAATTCTCTGGTTTGTGGAGGGTGACGGATAAGCAATGGAGAAACCAGGAGTGTTGCTCATGCAGGGTTGTCTCCTCAATGAAGTAAATGAATACCTATTTTCATCCAGAAGGTTGAGAGTGCATCTTGTTAAAACCTGGTGACCTTGGTGACCTACCTCTGGGTAGGGTCAGACCTCACCCAAATCCCTCAGAATGTTTATCCCTGACTCTCCCTCTCTAGACTAGACTCTTATCTTTATCTTTGCTTCTCAGTCAATTGAAGCACCCTTAGGGAAGATGTCACACATAGTTTTTAACCTGCTAACCTCTATGCTATCTTGGTCAGAGACTACACCAGATCTTAGGCCCTTAAGCAACAGAACCTATCTTCATGCATATTTTGCATGAGTTTCTGTGTCATCACTCCTTAAGATCTATTGTCCACATAGGATTGAAATAATTGTTACCAGGAAACTTTTTTTCCAAAACTGAAATAGACTTAAACATGTCTAAAATAAACAGCCTTAAACATGTCTAAAATAAACAGCCTGGTGTCAGGCTCCTGAAAGTTGAATCAGTGTTGGCTAACAAAGTCAGGCTGAGCCAAGTTTCCCTCCCTCTGATGTTTCCCTGTGTCCGAGATGCTGTGTCCGAGATTCCCCCAGTGGCTGCATGTCTTATATGCTAGTTTTAAAGCACTGTGGGCTGGTTTTCAGGACATGTACAATTTGAGTTCTAGGAAATCTTAGTTTGAGATGTTGTAATTAGATACCACAATCTTTGTGGTTCAAGCAACACCTGTGAATTTCTCATGGCTCTGGAGGCTGGGAAGTCTAGTCTGTGGGCACTGGCAGAACCATTGTCTGTGAGGCCTGTTTCTAGCTTTACAGATACCTGTCTTCTGTTAAACCAGATGGTTGAGAACATGTGATCTGTTCTCTTCCTCCGTGGAACATATTTAATGGCTGAGTTCCACGTTCACGGAATCATGTAAACTTGCGTTACTTCCCAAAGGCCCAGTGTTGTAACTCCTTTTCATTGTGGGTTAAGGTTTCAACACACAAGCTGGAGGCATCTGGGTGGTACTCAGGTTGTCTCCAACGCATGAGGTCTTCCATTCCTAGCACCAAAAATACAATATAATGCAACTCAATAAAATAAAAATGGCAGCATAAAATTTTTGGAGTACATAGACATATGGTTTGCAACACAGATTCTGGCGGGTTGTCTTCTAGTGTGCTAACACACAAGTTTGCATTCCATAACAGCACTCGGCAGAGATCATTTCCCTACAGCATGGCCTGTAGTTAATTAACACACATTTTAATTTTTACAGCTATAATTGGTGAGAAACAATCAATTCCTTGAAAACAGATTTCAAGAAAAGACTTACATATCTTTATGTGTATGGCATTTTTCCTGCATGCATATATGTTCACCACATGTGTGCCTCGTGCCTGCAGAGGCCAGAAGAAGGCATTGGATCCCCTAGAAGTGGGAGCTGCAGTGTGGGTCCTGGGATCTAAGCCCAGCTCCTCTGCAGGAGCAGCATGTGTTCTTAGCTGCCAGCCCTCTCTCCAGTCTTCTTGTTTTGTTTTTGAGACAAGTGTCTCACTGTTCACTTCTGGGCTCCCTCCATTCTCCTGCCTCAGCTTCGTTGATGTCTTTCAACTTTTTTGGCACCCAAAGATAGACTTTGAAACAAATGTAAAATGTCACAAGCACTAAATATTAATGATAACCATTACAGTGAATAATTTTCAAAAGATAATTTACTGTGTTTTATTATTACTGTTCTGTGTGGCTTGAATATTTTTGTTGTACAGCTACAGTTTTAATGAAAATAATAAAACCTTCAAATAACTAATTGTCCCAATGTAAAAGCCATTCTTAGGGCCCAGCCTTTCTCCAGATCATTCCCCCTTGCACAGCTCTGACCAACACATATCAATGACTCTAGGACGTTTCAGCAGCCTCCTGGATGAGTAAGAAGCATATCTCATTCACGTCAGAGGGAGATTCATGGACCACAGTTTTTATTTTGCTGATATCCAGAGCTGATGTAGGACATGGGTGGCTGGGACTAAAAGCTGGGGCCAGAGAACAGAGCTCTGTTGTTGGTCTGCAGATGTAGTAAAAGGATGGCCTTGTCTGATTGCACACAAAGTGAGTCTTTCATTTCATCCTCCATGTTTTAGTGACAGTTTTTGTTAATGTTGTTTAGGATTACATCTGGGCTATTGGATAGTCTTAAAAGCTGTCTGTGTCAGTTAAATTATGATTTGCCCGGATAATTCAGGAAACTCTTCATCTTGTTGTTGTTGTTGTTGTTTTTTAATCATAGGAAAAGAATAATTCTGATTTTGGGGAAAAGGTATAAAACTGTGACTTTGGTAACTAATATTAATCAATTCTGGGAAACAAATCACATTAACTAGACAATCATGCTTATTTACACACTGTTTACGTAGTATTTACATACTACTATTCTTAGTCCATTTTTACTTGAACTTCTGAACTTTTAGCTATTACAGTGTTATAATGAAAGTCTCTGCAATTACATGTTTATCACATGTTTAATTACTTTTTTTTGGAGACGGGGTTTCCTGTTACCAAGGCTGGTCTTGAATTTATTATGTAGCCAAGCATGACCTTGAACTTTTTTTTTTTTTTTTTTTTTTTTTTTTTTTTTTTTTTTGGTTTTTCAAGATAGGGTTTCTCTGTGCTTTTTTTGGCGGCTGTCCTGGAACTAGCTTTTGTAGACCAGGCTGGTCTCGAACTCACAGAGATCCACCTGCCTCTGCCTCCCGAGTGCTGGGATTAAAGGCATGCGCTGCCAACGCCTGGCAACCTTGAACTTCTAATTCTTTTGCCTCTACCTTCCAAATACTAGGATAACAGGCCTATGCTACTAAACCTGGTGTATGCAGCTCTGAGGATGGAACCCAACACTTGGTGTATGCTAGTTACCACTGAGTTACATCCTAACCTGCTGTCTCTATTCTGTAAGAAGTTTTCGTGACTCAATTCTAATTTGTAGTATGAATAAATAAGAATGTGTGCTATTGAGGACTTGACCAAGCCGGGCAGATGCTCTACCACTGGGCTATAGCTTCATTTTATATAGTTCAAAATATAGAAACAGAAAGAATGTTTATAACTATTTACCATTATCTTGTAAGACTCTGCTCTATGTTTATGCTGTTATCTCAGTACACCTTCCCCAGAAGTGCTCACTTCCGTATTTAAGGGCGTGGGGGTAAGAATCTACTGTCTTACTTCCAGAGCTAGATTTAAGTAAGTTCAGGAAAGATGTGCATTCAGGGCTTTGTATATTTGGTGTGGACAATCCCCAATGTGGTTGACATTTTCTCCTTAAGTACAGTGACTGGTGTTTGTAGATCCAGGATGCCATAGGCCAGTGTGTTTTGGCCAATGTCAGATTTTGTGGACTCAGAGAACCTGGGCTGGTGCTCTCCTTGCCCTTAGGACCCCTCATGACAGCCAGAAATCAGTAAAGTGAATAGAACAACACCAGAGCAAAAGCAAAATCATCTCTTGTGCCAACGAGCTTTTACTTGGAAAATGAAAAGTGGTGGTGCCCTGTCATTAACATCTATTATTCAAGTATGCCGTTACTGTTTTGAGGGCTTAGCACTCATGTGTGGCCAGTGGCTGCCACTTGGACATTACATTTTGACTAAGAAGACAGAGTCAGCTTGCCATCTCTTGCCCTTACCTTTTCGACCTCACAACTAGAGCAGCTTGGCAATGATGCTTATGCATTCTAACCACTATTGTACCTGTCCTTTAAACACGTTTTATTAGTTTTGAGTTCTTATTTGTAATTAAATATTTTTCCCCCGAGACATGGTTTCTCTTTGTAACAGCTCTGGCTGTCCTGAAACTCACTTTGTAGACCAGGCTGGCCTTGGACTCACACAGATCCTCCTGCCTCTGTGTCCTGAGTGCTGGGGTTAAAGGTGTACACCACCATCTCCTGGCAACTAAAATTTTTTTGATGTCTCTATTTTGTGTGCATGTGTTCTGGAGTGCATGTGTGCATGTGCCATGCATGTATATAGAAGTTAGA